TGTAATTTTCTTTGCAAATGTGTGTCAAATGTCAAGAGTAAATAAAACGTTGTTGTTGTTGTTGTTGTTGACTAAAAGTCACATTTTTCACCAAATCACCTAGCGCTGTTTCCGGGCTACTGTCAGTTTTCAAATACGTATTAGATTGGTCACATTGGTTGTCAACTCCTTCAAAATGATCAGAAGAACAAGAACTCCCAGGAAAAGGCACAGGACTACCTTTTTCAGCAGCTCACCAGTTTATTTATAATGGATATCATACTTTTTGAAATTCCTTGCCATATTTTTGCGCCACAGCCACTGTGGTTTGTTAACTGAATCTTCTCTTGAAGCAGGCGAACTGTGATATTTGAACAGAGAATCAAGGTTAATCAACAAGGTGAGAAAAACAAATCAACGGGAGATAGTCGTACGTGTTTGCTTAGAATGTAAGTTGCAGTCAAGGGACTTGTTACAGTCGAATGAAACTACATAGGACCAACCGAGGGGAAACGTGTTTTTGCAACAGGCGGAAATTCCCCGCGGGGATACAGAAAACAAATCTGGGTGTGACTCTATCTTTGTTTGACCCCCGGGAGATCATTCTGAAACAGTCCCACAGACAAGAGGAGAATGACAAGAAAAAATGAAATGTCGCAGATTTTATGCGGCAGTATGGCAGTGTTTTTTCATTCTTTTCGCCATGATAGATAAGGATATCGGCGTTTAATCTCTCTTACGATGACCAGCCCCGCCCCTTTCATGTGGGAGTACGTCACCCCGAAGTGGTTAGGAGATTTGCTTTATAGGTTAGGACCTCATCAAATAAGACCAAATTGTTAGAAAAACGTTGATCCAGATCTTCAAATAAGCATTTAGCGCTCAAATCGGATTTATTTCGTAAGTGCTGCTCTGTATAACGTAAAAGAGAGGAACATGTTGCAACACTGTTGCGCTCAAGGTATTGCATACGGGTTTGTCTACCCTGCACGATCCATACCATTTTTTAGTGTTCAAAAAGAGATTTTGTTCATAGCACTCCCGTGCAGTTATGTCTGAGGCAAAATTGGCGAAGTTGGCGAACAAGGGGTACGAGTAAGTGATTTTCAAAGTTTGTAAGCATCTTTTTTAAATAGGGCCCAGCCTTGTTAGACCTGTTAAGGTGATTCCATTGAACTGTTTCGCGCATTCTTGCTGCGCGAAATTTCTCGCGCCAAATGCGCGCGTACGAACATGTCCTCGTTACTACAAGAACCACCAAATTAAATAATCAAAACTATTAAAACATCAAAGAAAATATGTGTCAATAGGTAAGGAGAATTGATCTCCTTGGGATAACACGACAAAGCGGCTGGACGTTTGATCATTCTCTTTGCATTCCTTCACGAACTGCTGGCATTTGAGTGTTTTGTCCGTCCTTGAGGTTTCCTCACGGTCTTGCATTACAGCACTCGTAAACATTGTGTGACCCTGAGTGTGCCCGTAAAAATCTGACCGGAATTGAAGGCGAAGGCTAATAGAATTAGTTAAGTTGATTTTGTTAACCGTTTCCGTCGAAACTTCCTGTAAACTGTTATTGATCTTCTATTTTGAAATTCTGCCATGGCCTCCATGGTTCTAGATATCGTGCTGATTGCCTAATCTTCATGAAAATAATGCCCTTGATGACAAACCTAAACAAATGCACTGAAGACGTTTCCTGTACTCAGTGGTCGTAAAACTGGCTTATTATCTAGTACTTTCAGCAGGTATTGCAAAAAAATAAGGAGAGGTTTTGTCATGGAAGCATTCGCAGCTACTCCCAAATTGATTATCAATCCCTATTAAAGGGGTGTTGTTTTTGCAAGTTCTTACTCTGTGGTGTGGAGTAGTCGCTAGAAAAACTGAGAAAAAGAAAGAAACCTTTGGGGCCAAGTCTGTTATCATTGTAATGCAGGACGTTATTTAAGAGGCCAGCTCTTAGAGAACTAATCACTTATTCCATCTGTTAGCCCTAAAATTGGTAGCGCGTTGTAAATGCCATGGTATCGTTATGGCTATTTCGTAGAATTTGGCTTTCCATTTGACGACGCGTAGAGTTTGCGTCATATTTGGTTGTTTCACCTTGATTCGCGAAACGCCCGTGGAATGCTGTATGCATCCTACATCCTGTCCAAAAATAAGCTTTTTTAAAACGCTTTCCAAAACGTGGTTCTCCAAAAATAAGAAATTATAGAAAAAGATAAACTTATAAAAAATATAGACCTATAATTAAAACTGCTAATTTGGCTCAAATTTTGAAGTTTCACGCCTCCTAGCCCGTTGGTTTCCTTAGATCCTTACCTGGATAAACGTGGCCAGGGGCTTGTAGCTTCTACAGATAATAGATGAACACATTGAGGGTACAGGTTTTCGATCGTTCTGCAGTTAAGCTCGTTTCAATGATGTCCCTGCTAAAACACTTTTCATCCGAGCTTTATAAGGGGGATTATTCCAAAATCAAACTTGTTTCACCGGCTAAGCGTTAAAGAGGCCTGCTATTTAATTTTAACTAATTTGTTTTGAAAGCAATTAATACTTTGTTGATTTTCCAGGGTATCTCTAGTGTTGAGAGATCGAGAGGAAAAACCTCATTTCCGTTACTTCGTTATTTTGGTAGGGGTCATTAAATTTGAAACCGATCTCGCACAACATGATCATTACGCATGGAAAAAGCTTTTGCATAAACTAAGGGAAATAAAGATAAAAATAGCTCTGAATTAAATTTCTTTATGACCTGTGTCAAGCAAGAATTCGCAGCACAGTTAGAGAACCTCAGTTTTTTTGCCCAGGTTCTTCGCAGATGTAAAAATATACTCTCTCGTTATTACTCACAGGTGTATATGTGATATCAAATACATATTTAAAATGATTTTAATTAAAATTATCACGGTCTTCAACAAGGCAACATATCATCTTCGGCCGCGTGTACTACAGGCTGACCCCCCAGTGTTGCATAAAGCTGTTAACAGGATGCGAAGTTAAACAGGATTGGTTTAAAATCACTAATAGTATAGTACAGGCAAACATCAAACAATCGATCGAGGACTGGGAGTCAATTGAATTTTTCAAAGACCCAGGATTACATAGCAAGTAAAAGCAAGTCAAATAAAGAGCTTAATTTAAGCAAATGACGATATGAAGAACAATAGAGAAATGTGATGAGGTTGTACGAAGCACAACTTCAGCGTGCGTGATTTCCTGCAGCTTTCCGTTACCCCCCGTTACCAGTCCAGTGGCAAGAAATTCAAGTTTGTGGCTTTTTTAGTTTTAGGACATTTGAGTATTTTATTGACCTAGGACTTGTTTTCCAAAAATTGCTTATCTGCAATGTTTCAATCTACTCCATTAAATTTAATATTTACATCGGCATTCAAGGTTGGAATAATTTGGTTTAAAAAGGCTCTGAGCAATATCAAGCAGACACAAAATAGAAAATAGTCATATACTCAGCTTGTGTAAATCGGCTGTCATACTCTGATAAGACCTTTTAAAGCATGGTCATTTCAATATTAGTTTTTGAGAGACTTAAAATTACTGATTTTACATGTACTAGCACCACAAACCTGGCTCAGTGATTCCTGATCGCAGCAAATGCTTTGATTCTTCCTTGCTACTCCATCAAACGGATGCTTGGCAGGCACTATAAACAAGAAGAGGTGAAAAAGCAGCTGATAAATCTAAGCGCATAGTGCGAATAGGACCGAATGGAGCAATTAAGCGAACCTAGGGCAATATTTTTTTTATGGTAACCGCCGACTGGATGTCCTGTGACTTTGTTTTCGACTACTGACGCAAACACGGCCATGAAAAGTGCTTTTCTTTACCTTCTCATCAGTATCTCCCGAGGGTGGGTTGCCAGGTAACGAATAGATCACGTTATACAACTGAATACATTGTCCCTGTTTCTATCGAGTCAAGTTCGCTAGTATAGCTAGAAACACGAGTGGAAGCTAGTTTACGAGACTGTTAGAATCTGTGTTTCTATTGAGAAGTGCGGCGGCTTTTAAACCGCTGTTTCTTACACCGAAGGTGTTACCTAAAGTGCTTTATTCCCTTGCATGTTATTAAAAGTACATTAGCTTGCACTAAAAGCTATTAAAACAGTTTTCATTCGTAAATAAATGGGAGAATCTTTGCTGACTTAATTGTTTAAGTTTTATCTTAGTATTATGCAACTTTAAGTAGAGAAGACATCCGGCATGTTACAGTGTACGAACTGACTCCAAACTAAAACAAATTAAAACTCTTTGACTGTAATGTTGGCTTTTAAAAACTGGAAAATTTCTGGGTGACAAAAAGGGCTAATTATGCTGACCTTGAACATACTTTATAAAATAAAGTGTATTTTAAACTGAAGTGTATTCAATCCAAAAATACATCGGGCTCAAATCTCTCTTGACTCCTAATCCCTGCCACGTCTTTTCAATATATTTGAAGTTGACAAACTGAAACAATTCTTGCTCGATCAGAAACTGAAGCTCTTATGCTAATGACTATGTGATATCAAACACAGACTACAATGTTTGAGCAACAAAGTTTATTGAGATCGAACTATGGGTGTTGTGGGTGGGGAAGCGAGACTAGCTCTGAACTAGCTGAAGTTTGAGCGATATGAAAGCCGATCAACTGGAAAAGCTAAGTAAGGAATATTTTAAAAATGGATAGGGGTCTTGTCCTGTCATCACCTAATCAACCAAGATGATCTTTGTACAACGTACAATAACGCAAATATTGTAAAGAAACATTCCCCTATACGCCGGTCATTTCTAGCGATTCGGTACAGACTGTACAAATAACACATCGCGCAATATTTTGTACGATTCACGGACACACTGATAAACGCTGTTTTCAATATTTCCATGCTGTCAGTGTTATGTACATCTGACTGCGGGATACGGTGTCAAGTGCAGGGTAGGATTTTAGAAGTCTAATAAATCACTTATTACTTACAATATGCAAACAATGTTTGTGTTCAATGAAAGAAGCACCTCAAATGATCATATTTTTATATAAACGTTTATTGCTAACACAAAAATGGTACATTTACATGCACTTATAAAGAACTAAAAATATATCCTACATTTCAAAATTTGGGAATATCAATCTATGTCATCCGATTACACCTTAACAATTTACAAAGTGTATTTTATAAAATAATCATTTTAATGAACTGGGAAAATTCCATATCGGTATTCCAACAGCCTGAGCAGAGGGGACCAGGAAAAAAAAAGACATTTCAGGCTAATACAAGCAACATACGCACTGAAATTACTAATCAGTGACTTAAGTGGGTCAAAGATAGCAAAACGTGACATCCTTCTACCGGATATGCAGATCAACGTCAGTTAGTCCAGTTAGTCACGTTTGGCATTTAGTGCTTTACGTTTTCCCGTTTGAGCCTGGGAATACATGTATTGGTCGCAAAAGGCGTTTTCTTCTTCTGGAACCAAAATATGCTGGATTAACAGTCTGAATTACGCAGGATCGTTTTCGTGTTTTTTGTTTGAGAATCTCTCGTCAGTTTGTATAGCCGGTCACAGATTGTGCGGACTAATCAGCAGATTTTCCATAACCATATATGTTAAATCAGAAAATTAGCGAACATGACTGGAAAAAGAGAAAAAAATAAACAGCTGGAAACCCTCAAATATGCACTGTCATAAGTCAGTAGAACTGAACGTATAATTTCTTTTACAAAGTCTGCAAGATTTTTGAGGATCTTTCTTCCTCATTTAGTTTACTGAGTTTTTGGTAACCATACCTAAGTGCTTTCATAATTTTCGCGCCCTATTTGTCTACATAAACCTTTTTTTAGCGGTCTTCGTTTCCTAGAGTTTTTCACGAAATCTAACGTCTGAAGAGCCTTCAGTTATCACGAGGTCAGTTCAGCGGAAATAGTTAACACAGTCGCCTTTCATTTCGCCCCAGGCTTCGTCAAATACTTTGACCACATCTGCAGAGAGAAAACAATATGATTACTGCAAAAGGTCGAGCACAAGATATATAGAGGATATTACATGCCCGCGCGTGGATACGAATTTTATCTTCGAGTGTTCAACTCGCTATCTCACGGATATGAAAATTCTTACTGAACAAAAAGGCTTCTTATTTATTTCCTAGCAGTCCTCGGAGTCATACACAAATTTCCATATATCAGTATTATTATTTAGTGGTGTACACAGAACTTTAATTCCCGGAAAAGTAACGTTTGAAAACTAGTCTTTTCAAAGACATTTTAAAAAGACCATTTCCTACGACAAGAAAAAGACACTGGTCTCTAGTCATGTCTAGTGTCACGTAAAATTTTGTCTTTGGGGGGAGGGGGACCAGAAAAAAAATGTGGTACTGTTGGGGAAGATAGTTCATAAGCATATCTTATGCATAGAGAAAGTCATCCGTACCAGTAATAAATTAACCAATGATTGCACTTAAGCCAGTTTACTAAGAGATCCTCACGATCCTCTCGGTACTGCAGCCCTAACATGGTGAATTTGAACTCTATTATTTTCATCACTGAATTTATAATGTTTGCTTATACCTTCATGTAAGGGCCCGTGTTTCGTACTCTTGATGCTCTCCTCCAAGTGCTTGACAGAAGACGCCCCAAGGATTACAGCATCTGAAACCGCAGTAAAACGGGATTACGTCTACGCTCGAACCTAGCAGCCCATCAGGCCACGGCTTATCCCAGTTCCTGCAACATAAAACGACTAGGGGTATCTCTACACCCCCTGGATGGGATGCTAGTCTATTGCAGGATTACCCCCTAGTATTAAATTTACCGGTGCCATTTTTACACCTGGATGGAGAGGGGCACTGTGAAAATTAGGCGCCTTAAGCCCAAATAGACACCGTAATGACCCTGGTCAGGGCTCAAACATGGACCACTCGATCCGGAGTCCAACGCACTAACCATTATGCCTGTTTACAAGGAGAGAGGGTTACTCTAGCAAGCGGGTTACCCTAGCAAGTGGGTTACCCTAGCACTCACACATTTCCTCTTTTTTTTCTTCGTTGTGTTTACAAGGAAGCCAGGGTTACCCAGGTAGGTGGGTTACCCTAGGTTACCCTGGCAGGCGGGTTAACTTTTTCCCTTGTGAACACTCTAGGAAGGGTTAACCCGCCTACCCAGGTTAACTTTCTACTTGTTTCCAGACCCTTTGAGTGTAACCGTGCATTAAGTTGTCCTGGGCTGTAGGGTTACCCTACCTGTGAAATTTTGCGTGTAAACCTGGGTTATCTTTTCCCCTCCAGCTAGGGTTAACCTGCTTGCTAGGGTAACCCTCCCTCCATGTAAACAGGCCCTTACACAGTCTGGAAGGACAAGGTTACACTAGTACTGTTCATGCTGAATAAGCTTGTATAGTTAAATCAGATCTAAGGGAACCGCAAATAAGTGGTATGAAACTGAAAGGCTGAATTTTGCATAGATCGAAAAAAAATGCCACTTGAGGACAAACAAATCAACCTGAGTAGGTAAACAATTTTAATCCATGTGTAAACAAATAACTTACCAGTCCACTAGTTGGGTGATACTAATTCTTGTCATCCTCACCTTGTGACAGGATTGTACATTCCTTGGTAAACAGTTGGTAATGGATAGTTATTCATCTTGCATAAGTAATAAATTTCGGTCTGAAAGAAAACATAACAATGAAATAATTTTTTTGTGCTAGTGATCTTGACAACCTCATAGGCCCGCAATGGGTGCAAAAACTTCTGTATGCATTGCGTATCTACAATTTTAGGTGCACAGCATACTGTTACATAGCTCTCAGCAAGGATGGGTCTCTACATCCATTGCATCAAGGCATTGCCCCAACATCCTACATTGTTGGCCAATAATAATCACCAGTTTCTCCCAGTCATCAGCATAGTTAGCAAGGCAATTTACATCACTTACCACTTCCCATGAAGCATAATTGGAGATACCAAAGTACTTAAATTTCCCCTCTAAAAATTGTAACAACAAAGGAGATAACAATTACTAACTGTACGAAAATTATACAAATTATGGTACATGTAAGTAGCACAATGTGGTGGGACAGATCTAGAGGGGGTTTGGGGGGTTCGGTTGAACCCCTAACCCCACACTGACTTAGCCTCAGAATGTCAGAAATTCCATTTTTGAGGACCTCAATTTTAAACATGTTACGGGGGAGGATTCCCCCGAACCCTTCTACAGGAGACTGCCTTTGGTGTTCCACATCTCGAACCCCTTTCGCTAAAATCCTGTATCTGCTCCAAGTACGTACTATTGGGTTTGGTGGCAGCATACTGGAGGTTACTAGGTAACTCTAACTAGCGTCTTAAGTACTATTCCATACCTCAGTCAATAGTGCCCACTGTGCTGTTTAGCATTTGCTCCATAACATAATATCAACTAAATGAAAAATCACCAACCAGGAGCAAAATATGGGGGTGTGCAAGCATAAATTTTCTGCAGAACAAAGTGATGTGCATACATTTTCTGCCATTGACATATATTTGACTCAAACCCTTGAAAACTGCACCATAAAGCCAGAACACATTTGTGTATAAATTGAAGCATAATGCCTGAGTGAGTGCTCATGAACAAGTTGTTGTCAGCAGACACCCATTAGCAAACAGTAGATGCCAAGTTTAGCAGTGTGTGTTTTACTTTTGTGCAACCCTTCTGCTTATTAGGACCTCTCATAAAACTAAAATTCTCTAAAGAATGGACATGCACTTACCTTTATAGAGGTGATTAACAGCTTTAAGTGTTTCCTCAATGGGTGTATTGTGATCTGGAGCATGGAGGTAGAATAGGTCCACAGAGTCTCTCTTTAATCTTTTAAGAGATATATTTAACTGTTCCAATACTCTGTCATACTTCAATCCTTTGGATACAAAGGTACACAGCATCAAAACACCTAACATTTACAGCTCAATAATTTAATTTGGAAGGGGATAAGAGAGGCCTTCCAAGGGGTAAAAGCAACATGACCCTGAAAACTAGTGACACAGGAATTGCTAATCAGTGACAAGCGAATTGAATGCACTGTTAAAATTCGACCGTGACATGAAAAGCACTGGAAAAGACAGCAACATTGACCCTTTTTGACTTTTTGCCTTTTTAGAAATTGTATTCCCTTGTAAAGTCTGTAAATGTCAGAAACTTGTGTGCTTTTCCAGTGAATAAGCTCTCTTTTTAGCGACAGCAACATATGATTTCATGCAGAAAAGAGACAGTGACGTTTACTTCCCTGGTTTAGGCGACATTGGTACATAAAAGGATGCAACATGGTGATATGGCTACCTCCCTTGGAAGGCCTCATAAGATGGTTGATCAGAAAATCCATGGAAGTGACTGCAGCAGTGGTGGTAAAGTTTCCTCACTGGAATATACCGACATCTGATAAGGACTAAAATACTTAAGTTCTTTATAGCTGAATTATTTATATATGAGAAGAATATAACATTTCAACACTGAATCTATGATTTTGTGGGCATGACAGTAATGTGTAATTAAATAAACATGATTTTAAAAATGATTTCTAATAGTTTCATAGGGAGAAAGAAATTGTTACAAATATACAAACTAGAAACCATCTAGAACACACCTTCTCCACTCCATGGATTGGCCTTTGTGGCAAGAAATACCTACAATCAGTGAAACAAGATTTGATGTAATTATATTTAAAATATGTTAACTAAGCTGTTATAACCATGCAGGCCCCAGTTGATCAAAGGTTGGATAATGCTATCCACCAGTTAAACCACTTTCCAATGGATAAGTGTTAACAAAACAAACCATGCTGTCTGCTGGATAGTGATTTATCCAGTGGATAGCATTATCCACCTTTCAAACAGCCCAGGCCAGCAGTTTAAATGCAGAAGGAATGACTTATTGGACATTGTAAATGGTTTGAACCCAGCAGTATCAGTAGTTCATATAGTGTGATCATTCGGGTGAGTGTAGTTCCGAAAAGAACTGTTGTTGGTGACTGACATTTCAACAACCTGAGCGGAAGTCATCTTCAGAGTCAAGTGAAGATGACTTCCACTCAGGTTGTCGAAACGTCAGTCACCAATAACAGTTCTTTTCAGAACTACACTCACCCAGATGATCACACTATACGAACTAATTGGACATCTGTGAATAATTGGTTGGAAAATGCAATAAAATATAGTGCTTTTAAAATATTTATTCAAATAGTGGGAGGTGGCATGATCTAAACTTCAGTATGTTAGACTATAGATCGAGCAACCCAGGATCATTGTTGTATTCAAGGGCACTAGACACATTATGCCTATAGTGCCTCAGGAGTCTCCACCAAGCAGTATAAATAATTTCTGGTAAGTTGTCTGTTCTGATGAGGGGTGTAGAGTGCATTTCTCATAGAGTACACACTGGGAAGATAGGGGCATACTCCACCCCTCCCCAGAAATATTTATTTTTAGGGTTTGGAAATGCCATTTTCCATGTCTTCCAGGGAACAGTTTCATAAATCAAAACATGGAAAAACATTGAGTATAATTAAGGATAATTGATTGCTGGTTTAATAGGAGAGACTAGAGACTGTTAAACCAGCTGATTTCTGGAGGTACGCACATACCTTCTTATATTCTTGCTACCCCTCTCAGGTCAGAGAGGTGGTAATAAAAATAATAAGGCTCCCAGAAAATCTTGGGTATCTGAAATTTTAACCTGATCTTTCATATACACCATTATCCATACAAACTTTAACAAACTCTTTTGCCTGCAAATAATTTTATAATGTTAGTAATTCTTTTATTTGTAAAAAATAGAGGATATTACATGGCGGCGTGTAATATAGCCAATCAGAGAATGGCATGCATCAGTGATAGAATGCTATTCAGATTTACACTAAAACCCATTAGTATAAATCTACTAGCATTCTATCACAAATGCTATCCTCTGATAGGCTGCACCACTCACCATCTATTCTGATGTTGCATTCAACGAATTGGGGTTGAAATGAAGGAAAAAATTGCATAAACGGGTTGGGTGAGCTTACCGGTAATTTAGATCTCACTCTCACTTACGTCCACGACCAGAACATTTTGTCATTTTGTTCAACTGTTTTATGTGAATGCTACATGAGAATTAAATCTGAAGGATGACAAATTCTCTCTTACTAGCAGAATAGATTATTCGATCTCGACCTCGTCAACTATCACGCGATAGAAATCTCGAGCTCATAATCTAATTGCAGAAAACGTTTTCTATTTCTTAAATTAATGTTACTGCTGTACAAGTTACTGAAGGTTTCTCATAGGCAAGAACACATATCCCTCTTGAGTAAAAGTACTGCACACTGCATGCTGCATACAGACCTGGACTGTAATTCGCCTTCCAATGTCTGAACATCCAACTGACGTTTTTACACGAACAGTCGCCATCTTCAAATAGGAATTTCACCTCAAAACAGTTCGAAAAAGTAAACTATGGTAATAAATTAACGACAGGCTACAATGCAGAGAAGAAATCGTGTTAACACTACACATAAAAACATGACAAAAACCTCACACGATCACCCCGTCCCACGCTGCTACACACCACACCGCAGGGACTGGGGCAATTGTTCGGGTGTCACGCTTTTAGTAATGTCACGCACTTATGTTGTCTCGCGTGGGGTTTAGCTTTAGGATCACCTTCTTGCCAGTATCAAACCTCTTTTCTCGGCACCTCACTAAGGTACAGTTAAACACCTTTTATTAATGGATATGAAATGTTACTTAACATGTCACGAGCTTCAAGAGTGACCTAAAGAAAAGTCATCATTGACTAGCACAAGCAAAAAAGCTACGAGTTATCATTTTTCATGTGTGCTTGTATGTACGGAATTTCATGCTAACGTGATTGGGCCATTCCATTTAATATCCGCACTCCCCCCTATTGAGGTATTACTTGCCCCCCCCCCCCCTCAGATATCATTTATTGAGAGGGTAACCCTTGGATTTAGATAAATTGGCCACCCCCCCGGAAATTTTGCGACTTTAATTTTCGCACTTGCAAATCTCTTCAGACGTCTTCAACATATCATTTATTGGGGAAAATGATATAAATGATATCTGAGGGGGGTTTCAAGTAATACCTCAATAGGGGGAGTGCGGATATTAAATGGAATGGCCCATTGATTATAGAACGAGAATCAGTCCTATATATTCAGCATTGAATTTGTACTTACATGGTAAATGTCATAAGTACGAGACTTAGCTTATTTGTATTCAAAACATAACTAATGTAATATCTTAAAAGATGTACAGTACAAAAATAAACGAACCTCATGTCCCATGAAAACTTCTTCCCCGGTTGACAAACCACAAACTTCTCCCCTCCCCTTTCAACCGTCAAGTACTCTCCAGTGTGTTAAATTATGTTGTGCCTAGTATTTAAGAAAAGCCCTTTTGAGGTTTTAGTTTCTTATTTTTATTTCCAGATGGCCTCTGCTCCTGTGAAGACATCTATTGGATGTATGGAATTTGGAAGGCAATGCCCTCCAGACCAGGTG